AAGGTCTCTTCCAACCCAAACACTTCTGTGGTGCTGTGGCTGCAGAGCCCACCCAGGGGAAGGTCCCTGTCCCTGCTGGGGGCTGAGCTCTCACCGCCGTCTGCGCCGTGATGTGTGTGCAGCCCACAATCTTGGCCCCGGCCAGGGGCTTCTCCCCCTGGGCTCTCTTCCTCAGAGCCATCAGTGCAGGCATCTCTGAAAGGCAAAATGAAAAAAAAAAGAAGTCCATCAACGTGGCAGAATGAGGAGAAACCACCAGCACCTCTTCTCACCCTGCCACCGGGCACCCCCATGAATTTATCCAACCGTGGGAGGTTCAAAAGAAGCTAAAGCCTTGAGAGCAGGGCTCAGACAAGTCGTGGTGTGGCTGAAAAGGACCCAATAACCCCCTCACAGTTTTTTTTTCCTTCTGTTTAGGATGTAGCAGCATCATATTTTCAAATTCCTACCTGGGAAAGCCCAGGTGAGGCTGGTGGAAAATCTGCTTCAGCTTGAGGAGGACTTGGCTCTCTCCAGTATCTCTTCACCCACCTCAACACTACATGGCCTTTTCTATGGATTTTTTTGGGCACAATCGTGCTAAACCAAAGTTGTCTCCTTTATTTCATGTATTTCATCTTTTCTACTGATTTTAGCAGAATTCATTTCACTGCAGAGGGGTCCTTCAGCAATTGGTTGCTTGGAGCTACACACCACAACCCTGTGACTTGTTTCCATCCCTCAAAATCCCACCAAAGGTTTCCCATTTTGGTGTAAAAAAAAAAAAAAAAAGTCATAAATTTACTGAACCTCCCAAGAAGAGGATTTGGGGGAAAGAGGAACCCCACAGGACAGCTCAGGACAACGTGGAGCTTGAGGAACATGCCCCATTTACCTTGCTCAGCAATCTCAATCTCTCGGCGCCCAAACTCTGCCTGCTTTATGTTCTTCACACAGAAATCACTGCTGCCTTTGGAGTTCTTCTGCTGCTTGTCCCGGGGGGAGGTCTCATCATCAGAGCTGTCTGTGTAGGAGGCAGCTGGAGGTAGAAAAGGAGGTCAGAGACAGAACAAAGCATCCCCTAAAGCCACCTCTGATGGAAGGGTGCAGCTCCTCTGCTGGACGTGGCCATGGGTGGGCAGCTCCTGTGCTCATGGCAACTCCCCCTGGCCCCAGGTGGCATCTCCCCTTCTCCTCCCAACCACCAATTCCTCACAATCAGCTTTTGCCTGCAAGGAACTCTTCACCCTCATCTACCTCTGCTTCAGCACCACATCAGAGGTGAGAGCATGGACAGAGCTTGAGCACTGTCCACGTCCCCCGTGGGCTCGTCTCCTCGTGCTCTGCAGCTCCTGGGTGGACTTCTCCCATCTCCCTTCCCAAATGTTCAGACTTTACAGCTCTAAGAGAGCCAACAAAAATGCCTGAGCACGTACAAGACTCCAAGAGTTGGAACTGAAGACAGGACAGACACAGGACCCTACTTCACTTCAAACTTGAAGGTTGCTCGTTAATGATTAATCAGCCATGGTGGCACTCCCAGCCTCTGGGTTTGCACAGATTCAATGTTCCTCAAAGGGCAATGGCCAAATTGCTGCTCAGGAGGCTCACATGGGGTGGTAGGAAGAAGCTTCTTCATGGGAGAGCAACACCAGATTGGCACAGGTTGCCTGGAGATGATAGAACCAGAGAATCCCAGCCTGGTTTGGGTGGGAAGGGACCTTTTGAGGTCATCTAGTCCAACCCCCTGCAGGGAGCAGGGACAGCCCCAACTAGAGCAGGGTGCTCAGAGCCCTGGCCAACCTCCCCTGGGATGGTTCCAGGGATGGGGCAGTGACCACCTCTCTGGGCAGCCTGGGCCAGGGGCTCAACACCCTCATCATGAATTTCTTCCTAATATCTTGTCTAAATCTCCCTCTTTTAGGTTAAACCCATCACCCCTCCTCCTACCCCTCCATTCCCAGATGAAGACTCCCTCCCCAGCTTTCCTGTAGGCCCCCTTTAAATATTGAAAGGCTACAAGAAGGTCTCCCCAGAGCCTTCTCCAGGCTGAACAAGCCCAGCTCTCTCCTGCTGGCCTCCCAGCAGAGGGGTTCCCCCCTTGGAGGGCCACCTTTGTGGGACAGCACTACCCTCAACAGCCTCAGTGGAGAACTGGCTGAGCCTTCACCCAGGGAACATCTACTGGCTTTGGGTGCTGTGCTGCTGGGCACCTGACCTGCTTCTCCCCCAGGCACAGCCTCCAAGAGGGGATGAGCTACAGCAAACACTCCAGAGAGTTGTTCTACTCAAGACTCAACACAGATTCCCATTTTCTACCCCAATTCTGTGCCAAAGCAGTTTGGTAGCTGGAAGGGTGATGGGGACAGCATTCTAGCAGGGCCTGTTGGGACAGGACAAGGGGGATGGTTTGGAAACTAAGGGAGGTTTAGACTAGATCTAAGGAAGAAATTTTGGAATCTGAGGGTGTTGAGCCCCTGGCCCAGGCTGCCCAGAGAGGTGGTCACTGCCCCATCCCTGGCACCATCCCAGGGGAGGTTGAGGGCTCTGAGCAACCTGCTCTAGTTGGGGCTGTCCCTGCTCCCTGCAGGGGGTTGGACTGGATGGCCTTGGAAGGTCCCTTCCCACCCAACCCATCCTCTAAGGGTGAGCACTTCCTACCCAGTGCCTTAGAAGAACAGTGTGGTTGAACCCACAGCCTCACCACCACCAACCAGTGCTCCCAAAGAGCTGCCCCTCCCCAGAGCCATCCAGACCTCACCTGAAGGCTGACACCAAGAAGCTCCTCAGAGAACCTGGAGGAGAAACCAACCACCCCTCTACCCCCCATCCCAACGGCTCCGTTGCCGTTTTCCCACCAGAAAACCCAAACCAAGGAGTTCAACCCTTCCCTCCCCAGCAAGGGCCAGGGCTCAGTCTGCCCTGCAGCCCCCAGCAAGCTGATTACTTTCTCTTCTGGCCCATGTGAAGCACTTGAAGGACCTCAAGGGTAAAAAACAAGCTCAGTGCTGCCTGTGTGCTGGGCTCCCCCCGACCCCACGGGTCTTAAGCTGCTTAGGGAGGAGAATTAGGCATAGCTGGAATTTCTCTGCAAAGGCTCCAGCCTCAGCGGGGTGTGGGAGGCAAGTCTGACCCTGCAAACAACATGCTGAGGGCCAGAGATTTCTGAGTCTGTGTGTTCACAGCCCCACAGCAGCTGGGGAAGGAGCAGGAGCCAGGCTGGAGAACAACAGAGCACCTTATGTAATGCCCAGCTCCTGCAGGACTCCAGAAGGAAGGATTAATTAGTTGAAGGAGGATTTGTTCCTTGAAGACAGCTAATCTGGGCAGAGGTTTCTTTAAAAATGGAGGTTTTTGGTTCTGGGAGCTGAAAGTAATATTTTTTTTTCAAAAAAAAAACCCAAAACAATCAACTGATGAGAAAAAAGTACAGAAAGGATTCACAGAACTATGGAATCACAGAATTGATTTGGTTGGAGGAGACCTTTAAGGTTGAGTTCAACCTTCCCCCATCCCTGCCAGGTCCCCACTGCCCCGTGTCCCTCACCCCACATCTCCACGGCTTGGAAACCCCTCCAGGGGTGGGGACTCCACCACTGCCCTGGGCAGCCTGGCACAGCCCTGGGCAAATCTTTCAGTGAAGAAATTTCTCCTCGTGTCCAACCTAAACCCCCCCTACAGCTGCTACCTGTAATCTAGAAGTAACCAATTAACTGATGGGATAGGAAGTCTTCTAAATATCATCTCAAATCACCCCAAAACTGATTAATGACAGCTTCCCAACTGGGGCTGGCATTCCACAGAGCCATGCACCATTTTAATATAAATGATATAATTGTGGCCTGCCAGGACTGCCAGGGACCTAAAGAAACCTGGAGGGGACTTTGGAGCAGGGGCTGTTGGGACAGGACAAGGGGGGATGGTTTGAAACTAAGAGAGGGAGATTCAGGCTAGAGAGAAGGAAGAAATTTTGGAATCTGAGGGTGTTGAGCCCCTGTCCCAGGCTGCCCAGAGAGGTGGTCACTGCCCCATCCCTGGCACCATCCCAGGGGAGGTTGAGGGCTCTGAGCAACCTGCTCTAGTTGGGGCTGTCCCTGCTCCCTGCAGGGGGTTGGACTGGATGGCCTTGAAAGGTCCCTTCCCACCCAAACCATCTCAGGCACCAGTGGAAGAATGTTGGCTGGAGAAGGAGCCAGCTGCAGCCCGTGTCCCAACCCACAAACGACCAGGTCAGAGCCTAAATTCTGACATGTTGGATGAAGATCTACTCACACCTGTAGTGTTGGCACTGGGGAGGGTAAAAAAGGGGCCACCAGCCCCTGTTCCAGCCCTGCTGAAAAGCCCAACCTTGTTTCTCTGCTTTCCAACCTTTTGGAAGTTATGAAACAGCGTGAGGATGAAGTCAATCGCCTTTAATTAAAGATATTAATGATCTAATCCCACCTCAGCACCCAAATAACATGTGTGGGGCATCGTGCACAACACTGAGCCCTTCAGTATTCCAAGAGCTGGGCTGACATAAACCAGCTAACCCCCCAAAATCCTTCTGCCACCAGATCATAGAATTATTCTGGTTGGAAGAGACCTCGGAGACCATCAAGTCCAACCCAGCACTGCCAGGTCCACCACTGCCCCATGTCCCTGAGATCAGGATGTTCTGGGTTTTGCAGAAAGGGAAGGGACAGCCACTGGTATTTAAGGGATCCCCTCAACACACCAAAACACCCCCTCGACTCTGAGGCACCTTCCCCTGGTTTGCAGCAGCAGATGCTGTTACAGACCACGGTGCATCCTTGGGGGTATAAATCACTCCAAGAAGTGCAGAAAACAATTAATTTCCCCAGAGAGAAAAATTACTTGTCTTAAATGAAGTGGGAGAACTCCAGAGAAACTGATGGCTCATGGCAATTATGGATAAGGCAGTTTTACTTCTAATTGGAAGAGTCAGATGAGTGCAGAACATGAATAATGATGATCACAAAGGGCTTCCACCAAAATGATCCTGTCATCCTATGATTCTCTTTCCATTCTTCATACTTTACAACAACCAAGTGATGAAGTTTTCATGTTCAACAGAATCTCTGATGGTTTTTCATAGAATCACAGGATGGTTTGGGTGGGAAGGGACCTTTCAAGGGCATCTGGTCCAACCCCCTGCAGGGAGCAGGGACAGCCCCAACTAGAGCAGGGTGCTCAGAGCCCTCAGCCTCCCCTGGGATGGTTCCAGCATGGATCTGAGCAGTGCTGAGCAAGAGCTAAAGGGCCCCGGGGGGCAAGAGGCTGGGGCCAGACTCTGCTCAGTGGTGCCCAGCCACAGGCCAAGGGGCAACGGGCACCAACTGGAACCCAGGAGGTGCCACCTGAGCAGGAGGAGAAACTTCTTTGGGGGGAGGGTGGCCGAGCCTGGAGCAGCTGCCCAGAGAGGCTGTGGAGTCTCCTGCTCTGGAGAGATCCCAAACGTGGCTGGTGTGACCCTGGGCACCCTGCTGGGGGTGAGCTGCTGGAGCAGGGGGTGGGATGAGATGATCCCCAGAGGTCCCTCCCAACCCCACCACGCTGGGATTCCACGATTCTCTCCAACTACACGTGAGGATGAGGAAGAGCCAGCTCAGCCTGTTTCCCTGCCTTCCCCATGAGCAGCTGGAAGCTCTGGGGGCTCTGTGGGGCCAGGGGCAGGCTGTGGGGCCGTGGGGGCAGCAGCTGAGCTCTCACCTGAGCTGTAGCTGTCGGTGGAGGACTGGGAGATGGAGCGGGACAGCGAGCGGCGCCCGATCTTCGTGGGGCGCTTGTTGAACTCCTGCTTCTGGTCAGCAAACTGGATCTGTGAAAAGAAACCAGAGCTCAGGCAGGTGTAAAAACCCAACAGCCTGAGAGAGGAGATTCATCCAAAGCCTTGAGCAGACATCCTCTCAGGGGCTGAACCAAATTTCTGGTCGTTTCAATGAGGACAGAAGCTGCTGAATCGCCCGTTTGGTTTAATCCCAGACCCTGCTTGGTTTAATCCCAGACCCTGCTTGGTTTAATTCCAGACCCTGTTTGGTTTAATCCCAGACCCTGTTTGGTTTAATTCCAGACCCTGCTTGGTTTAATCCCAGACCCTGTTTGGTTTAATCCCAGACCCTGCTTGGTT